TGTAAAGTAATTTACAAAGTGGAATTAGGATTAATTACTTAAAGGACAAGCCAAGAATGAAAGACCTTTGACAAATTCTAAATCATGGACACCCAAACCATTAAATATCTTAAGAGCAGTGGTGAAATGTAAAATTTGTTACTACCGGTTCTGTGGGCATGGCTTGGTGGGGTGGGGGGATAATGTGACTGGGTGGGCGTGGCTAACTTTTCTTTTCTTTTTTTACTTTTAAAACCATTTTTTCTACAACCTTAAGAGGTTGCAGGAAAAAATGCTTTTAAAAGCCTCTGACAATCCCAGCTGAGCTGCGCAATCATCAGAGGCTTTTTAAAAATCTTTTAAAAGCATTTTTTCAGCCGAAGAGGTTGTAGAAAAAATGCTTTTAAAAGTAAAAAAAAAAAGCCTCTGATGATCGTGCAGTTCAGCTGGGCATGGGGGGTGGGCAGGGATTTTTGCTACCGGTTCTCCGAACAACTCGCTGCCATCGCTACCGGATCGGGCGATCAAGTCCAAACTGGGAGCATTTCACCCCTGCTTAAGAGGATCTGAGGCACCATAGAACATTAGTGTGATAATACCTGACTGAGAATTTTCTTAGAGGGATGGGACTCACTATAAATATTTCCTGCATTTTTCTAAATGGCACTTTCCATGTTCCTTTACTTTTATGGGTTTGATACTATCACAGTTCATTAAGAAGTATACCTGATTTATCCTATTTACATGTATGCCAGGAGATCACTCCAGCCACATCATTCCAAACTGGAAAAATAAATATAATAATTAACCTTTGCCCCCACTTGGGATTCTCAGCAGCTGAAATAACAATGGTTTGCTTGGTTTAACTTAATGATCCTTAGAAGCCAAGGATTTTTGAAGTAGGTCAGATAGAATTATTCTCTCTCTCTCTTTGGCGTGAGAAGTGCAGTAGAACATGTAAAATTAAAAGAGAGAGAGAGAGAAAATCAGAAGCATTTAGACAAACACAATGATATCAATGCATCTCATTCTTTTTTGCCTTTGGGTATAAGAATATGCCAGCTAATCCATACACTCCAAACTTTCAGATGATGCTCCTCCTTTATTTTTTCTAAAAGAAAAGAAATTACATTCTCTCCATTATTTGTTCCTTTCTTCCTTCAAAGGGAGGTAGTAAAATGCAAATACCTTTGAGATTTTTGTTCACAAGAGGCATCTGTGTTTTCTTCTGTATAGGAAAGTATTGGCTTGTCTCTCTGTGTATTTCTGCTCTCCCATTGTGTTATATCTCTATGTTTGTCTCTTTGAGTCATGTGACCAGGATGGAGAAAGGAAGAGGATCAAAATGCAGCAGTCAGCAGCATTCTTAGCCATTGTTCAACAGCCTCTTCCAATTCTCTTTTTTCCCCCTCAGCCCTTTACAAAATCTATTTTATTTTCAAATTTGGACTTTTTTTGCTCCTTTTTCCCACAAAGCCAAATTGGTCTAGTTCCATTTAGCTTTTGCCCACCATCCTAAATCTGGTTCTGTTCTATCTCAGTTGACAGTTACCGTTAGTGTTTTTCCAGTGTCCACTGGGACGGAAATGAGAAAAGATGCTAGGCCATCAGAAATGTAGAAGAAGACTGCCAAGACTTAATATCAGGCACAACTTACTTTCTAACTTCCACATTCCCATGAGATATAAGTGAGTGAGATAGCTATATTATAGAGAAGTTAGAAGCCATACGTACAAAGAACACAACACAGGATATCTCAATGGCTTCAGCCCTTGTACAAGATTCATAGTTGAGCCAACAGTTGACCTGTTGCTACTCAGAACTATAATTTCAGATGAAAAATCAATAAAAAGCCAGACACATGAAAATATTATGTTGGGAAAGTGACTGGAATAACATTTTCTGTGCACTGAACAGAAATATCCACCAGATGTGATTAAAAATAAGTCATAACAGAGACTACAAGAGTGCAATAAATCTTTGCCCATTTTTTTATGGCTGTCACATATCTTTCCTTTTAGATCTTGTCCTGTAGGCACCCCTGATATCAAGGTTGAGATGAAATGGTTAAATACTTTTTGGTCTCCCAGCAATACCTGTGTTACTGCTTTTGAAGAAAGAGCAGGTCAGAATAGGAAACACAAAGTGTTATTAATGCCTTTTTATTATCAAAGCCTTTGGCTGAAATGTCTGGCAAGCACCAACTATTGCTACTTGTTTTAGTGAGATGAAAATTCTTAAATCAGCTTCTGAATATGATGCAATTGCAGCTCATTTAAGTAAAATATTATTCCTTTTTTGAGCACTTGTAACTTGTGAAAGTCAGCTTTTTTATTCCACATTTGTATGAATCATGGGCCTCTTCTTTACATTTTCGTGAGACATGAGTGACTCCTCTGAAGTACTTCACTTGTACAGATGGTGTTATTACAGATCTGAAGAGAAATCAGTTAACCTATTGATTCTCTCAGCAGAGGGCATTAAACTTAGACTGATCCAACTTTGAAAATGCTAACTGGAACACCATGGATGTAGTCTGTTATTACAAATATGAAAGAGCCTCTAAATCTGTAAAGATGAGCTTGATAGAATATTTTATACTAATATCAAAAGAGCTACAGTATGTTCAGAGAATCTTAATGGGCAGGAATCCCATAAAAATCCTCTCTAGGAAATCAATTTCCTGAAATTCTTCAAGATTTTTATATTCCATAATAACAATATTCATAACTAAAACTTGTTTATTTCCTTATTGTGTTATTTAAACTAGAAGATATGACAGGAGCTGGATTATGATGAGTTAGTTGCATATACTTTGTCATTTTAGCACTGAATTTAATAAAGCTATATTCAATAATTCTATATTCAGTAAAGCTATATTCATTCAATAATCCAAACTATAGTCCAGTATTAGTCTATCTACTCTAATAAGAGTAAAGTGATTATTTAATTAAAGTTAGGCTTTTGATACGAAGACATATAAAAAGGCAAAGGGGCTTCATATAAAATTTCAGATTTACTAAAATAATTGTTATACTAAAGGGAATAAGATTTTGATAGATAGTATAATTACTATCATTGTAATTTCCTTTATAAATTATTCTGAGGATGCCATCATCAATAACAAAAGCTTTGCCCAACTATCTGAATGATGGTTAGGAGCACTTGAGAGACTCAGAGACATTATGGCTACTATTATGTATACTAGGAAGTATTGTGTGTCTTTTGACCCTTTGCAGCTCATGGAATTTTAAAAACAAGTGAAGTTGATGGACAGAATTGTTATCAACATCCTAACAGTGTGTTCATAAGAGTAATTATGAATGTGTGTTTCAATTCTTTCCATTGCATAACAGCTATCAAATAAGTAAAATAAAAATCTGTATAAATTCAAAAGAGCAACAAGAGACAATTCTCTGAGAAAGAGAAAGAGAGAAAAAGAGATGGACACTTTCTAAATCTGATTAAAAAAATAAATATCTTGTACCTCTTTGCTGCTATTTAGTAATCATCTGGCTTTCTTTTAGCCCAGATCTAATTTATTTAAGAAGCATGGACTTTGGCATGGTGGATAAACTTTTGCAACTTTTCTTCTTTACATACAAAAGGTGGAATACTTTCATATCAGAAATCCTCTGTTTGCTAAGTACTACTGCTTCTAGAAAGATTATTTATTTATTCATTGAATTTGTATGGATGCCCATTTCAGCAAGTGACTCTAGACAGTAAACGATCATAAAACAATTAAAAAAATAAATTTATATCATGAGTATAAAAGTTAAAAAACATAGCCGTCGAGGAGAATGTTACATTCTGTGGTTCTTAATACACACTTGGGGCTCCAAATCTGGACACATAACAAGGTCTTTAGGGTCTTACAAAAGGCCATCAAGTTTGGGCCCATTCTAATCTCTGGAAGGAGGATGTTCCATAAATTGAGTGCATGTCCGACTTGTAGGACTCGATTGAATGGGTAGAAACAACTGGGGAAAAAAACCAGTCCTTCAGGTAAACAGGTCCCAGCCATTAAGGACTTTAAAACTGATAGCTAGCTTCTTGAATTGCACACGAAACCACTGGCAACCAATGGAGCTCATGGAGTAGTGGTGTCACGTGTGCTGAGTAACTGACATCATTTCCTAGCCATACAACTGCATTCTGCACTGATTGAAGCTTCTGAATGCTTTTCAAGGGCAGCCCCATGTAAGGAGCATTGAAGTAATCCAGATGGAAAGTCAAGAGAGTATAAAAGATAGCTGCTAATGCTAATTCAAATTGCTCAGCTATTATTAGAGGCAGATCAAATGGCAACTGAGTTTACATAGCATCAAGGACCTTGCACTTTTGTACCCAAGGCTAGGAGGCATAACTGCTAAGGGAATTGATTTGAAGATTATATTCAGTTGATGTTTTAGGACAATGATGTCCTAGTAATGTGTTATTGCTACGTTATGATTCATTCTTAGACAATTTTTTAATCTGCAAAACAATTTGCAAATACATATTTCTATAAATTATGTGCATTGTTCAGATTAAAACAACTGTTTTAAAGTTTTGTTTTTTGTTTTTTGAGAATAGGTTCTCTGTATTATTTTCCTTTTCACTAGTTAGCCTTTTCCTTTGAAGGTTTGCTTCAGTAATGATGCTGTGGATCAGGTAGATAATTAAGCTTTACCTCAACTAAAGACCAATGGTTTAATATGACATATGACAAAAAAAAATGACAATTAAAAAAAGTTTTAAAAAGACATGTAAATGAAAAACAAAATAGTACAGGAGTTGAGTAAAAAAAAAAAGTAAAGCACCCAATCAGTTACAAATTTTACAATAAGTAAATTCCAAATAAGCTTCTGATAGTGATAATTATAGAGTAAACTTAGAAACTTTGTTCAATTGGTCACTTAGAAGCATGTGCACTGAGCCAACTCAAATATTTTAAAATGAAAGGAGTTAATTTTAATCCCTGTAATTTGTGTGTTCAAAGTTGCTAATCCTTGGTAATTCTCCGCAATGTTTTCTAGCCAATATGGATTTCCAGATTCTCAAAAAAATTATGGAAAATTCTATGCTGTGAAATTGTAACTCATCTTTTCTCAAAGTCCTGCCATCCCTCCTCCACTTGCAACATTCTAAGCTTTTGAAGAAGTTTGAAGTATCTATACATGAAGTTGTAGAAGCAGAAGACAGAGAGGAGAATAGAGGGGCACTTTTTAGAAGCAAAAAAATAGGAAGTCTGCTGTGTATTTACTATTCCTTATGTGCATGTGCAGAAAATCACATATTTGCCTCTTCTCATTACATAATGTTTTATATAATTAATTAGCAACAGAACCTCCATTAAATGTACCATATAAATACAAATCTATCCAAGTTCTTTCTCTTTTTTGTGTTACTGTTAGGTATGAGAATATAAATGAAGTTATGTTTCTGACACTTCAGATTTACATATCTGTTCAACCTGATGCTGCATTAATAATTTTCAGTTTATTCTTGGACCATTTGTTCATTTAGCAATGAATGTTCTTTGCCATCCTACTCAAAAATCTGGATGATCATGCTTTGGATAGCTTAGGTCAAAGGGCATGAATCTGTGGTGCTCTATGAGTTTTGAATGCTGTTTGGGTGAGATGATTTTTTTTATCTTCTTAATGGAAATTCTCATACCAGTTTTACACAAATATGCACCATCCTGTAGTTGCACACAAAGAATTTCTGCACAATAATAATGCTAGTTGTCAATAGCATGAATATCCAAGAGATTTTACAGTGGCCAAGCAAATAGTTATAGACATATATAGACACACATACAAGTGTGCCTAAAATCCTGTATTATAGAATCAGGCTAAAAAGCCTTATTTGTCAAAGAATACTATACAGTACCCTTTTAATTATAGCTCTGCTATTCTTTATTGTGTCAGCAATTCCATAAAAAACCTCCTATTTTTAGAGGCTTGAAATACTACTTTTAAAGATTTGCTTTAGGCAGAAACCTGGCTTGTAAGTTTGCATGCATGCATTATTTTTTTTGAAAAAGTAAAAATGACAAATATTTTAGGGGTTCAGTTCTTAGCATATTTGAAAATATATAAATTCTCTTTTATGCTTTTGGCTAGGTGTAGGGTTACCAGGTCTGCTTCCAAAAAATAGCAGACAAGCTGGGGGAGGGGGGGTGTTAAGTAGTAAAAAATAAAAAAAAAATTTACAATTAAATTATATATTTTATTACAAACATTTTAACATGTATTAAAATAATCACTTCAAAACTTTACTTAAAATTCAAAACATCAAATATATTATAATAATATGTAAAATATAAAATTACATTTTACTTTGCTGTCGTGCATATTTTTTATTTGACTGCGCAGCTTTGATCAATTCTTTGTGTTTAAGGAATAATTCTTTAATTTCAGTACAATGTTGAGAAATATTAAAAAATATACAAAGTTCACTTCGAACTGATGGTACAAGCAGTCAGTTACGTTCGTCAGTCCTCAAATTTCCCATGACGTGAAAATTCGTTCAACATTTGCATTTGATACCGGAATTGATGCACAATACTGGAACAGTTTCAGTAAACTCAGAGCTGGCTCTTTCTTGAAAAAGTACGTCCACTTATCAAGGGATGAATCGCCCTGCAGATGAACATAAACTTTGGTGTATTTGCACACTCCTCTCTTTCGTTTTAAAGAATTCGAAATCTTGCCGCTGTCACTCTCATCACTCGACGCCATTTTAGGTCAGTCGACACAAGCTACAATACATTTTAAAAATGTGAACTGTACATAATTTTATAATATATTTTTATTTTAATCTTATCATTAATTTTTTCAGAGAATCGAGTTCAATGGATATTCGATCTTTGTCTCATTCTAACTTATGAAAAAAAAGACAAAACGCGATTCTCCTATCCTTATTCTCTTAGATTGTACAGCTTTAGATTACGTATCATTTCATCATAAAGCTTTTGAATAAAAAAAATGTCCACTATTTTGTGAAAAAAAATAGTGAACATAATGTGAAAAAAGCGGACTGTCTGCTCAAATAGTGGACACCTGGCAAGCCTAGCTAGGTGATATACTCAAGCATTCATTTTTCAGATTTTAATAGTTTGATCCTCATGCATTCATCATCTGTGGGTCTGATCTCCTATGTCAAACAGATACTGTATATCTAGCAATCTAACTATAGATCCACTCCTGCAGCTATACAAAAAGAAGCCAATGTGAAGAAGTTCTCCATATAAAGGTGAGCCTGATCAAGTTATCTTCAGAAGATACAACTAGGGGGTGGATCTATCCAGAGGCGGGTTTCAAAACCCATTGCTACTGGTTCACTCTAGGGTGCCCTTGCGCTTGTGTGTGTGCGATGCTTCTGTGCATGCAGGTGGGTGGGCAGAGCCTCCCGCTGCAGCTCCGGCGAACTGGTAGCAACCCACCACTGAATCTATCACACATGTTACTAGATCAGGGGAAGGGCTAACTTCAGGGGCTCACAAACCACATCATAATTTTGTCTTTCCATTCAGTCACGTCTGATTCTTGGAGACTTCCTAGACAAGTCTCTGCAGATTTCTTGGCAAGGTTTTCCAGAAGTGGTTTGCCATTGCCCCTTTTCTGGGGCTGAGAGAAAATGACAGGTCCAAGATCACAAAGTTGGCTTTGTGCCTAAGGCGAGACTAGAACTTATAGTTTTCTGGTTTCTAGACTGATGCCTTATCCACACCAAACTGGCTCTCATGCATTTTACTTACCAGTTAACTAATGGTCCCACATTTGTAATACTTTGATACCCCTTGTTCAAGAAAAATCTGAACCAGACTATTTACAAACCAATTTACAAACCATCATCAGTCATGATGTTACATAGATACTGAATTACCATTCTATAGTTGAATGCAGTCTGCTTGTAAAATGGGGTTTCCTGTTATTTTGATTACAGGGGGTATTGTGAATCTCTTTCACTGGTAGAGTGACACCAGTCAGCAGGATTAAATAATCAGATATGTATTTGCACTACATAATGATTAGTGGTTCTATAACTAGTTTCAAAAGATGTTAGATGTCTTCATGTATAACTCTTGTGTAAGTAACAATATAAAGAAATATGAAGATTCCTTAAGGGGTCCCATTTATAAATAAAGAAGAAAGCTAATGTAAAAGGCATCAAGTGACTAGCATTTATTTGTAATCATATCCTTCTTTTCCATAACATTTTAATATGCTAAATACATTGCTTTTCTATCTTTTAGATCACTATTTTATTCTGTCAAATGAAATGAATTTTAATTATTTAATCATGAATCTAGTTGATAAATTAACTATCTGATTAAATGTGCCTACACAAATGTATATATAAACAAAATGTTCTAAATCTGAACCATATTTAAATTATTTCAAAATCAATGGAACATACAGTAAGTTAGCTGTTATTTTTTTTTACTTGAACTGGATGGAAGCTCAATAGAACTTGAGTGTAATTTCATGCAGATGTTGCAACAACAAATACCTTCAAAAATAACAGTTTTCTAAGCAATTATACACACTGTAAAATGTGCAAAGATAGATTTTAAAAACTACTAAAACAGATTGTCTGAATGCAATTTGTTGTATTTTTCACTGTGTGATTTATTTTATTTTATTTTATTTCAAATTTATATACTGCACCTTCTCTCAAAAGATTCAGGGCGGTGTACAGCCAGATAAAAACATACAATACAAACATTAAAAAACAATTAAAAGGATATATATTAATTTGGCCCCAGTTTAAGATAACAAACCAATTAAAAATTAAAAATATGTTAAAAAAATATGTTAAGCCAGCCCAATTTGCTGGAAAAAGAAGGTTTTAAGGGCACGGCAGAAGGCACCGAGGTCTTGGATTCTCCTTATCTCTGGTGGCAGCTGATTCCAGAGGGTAGGTGCCCCCACAGAGAAGGCCCTCCCCCTCGGGGTCACCAGCCTACATTGTTTGGCTGATGGCAACCCGAGGAGGCCCTCTCTGTGGGAGCTCACAGGTCGGTGGGAGGTCATCGGTAGCAGCAGGCGGTCTCGAAGATAACTAGGTCCTATGCCATGGAGCGCTTTAAAGGTGGTAACCAACACCTTGAAGCGCACCCAGAAGACCACTGGGAGCCAGTGCAGCTCACGCAGGAGCGGTGTTATATGGGAGCATCAGGCGGCTCCTGTGATTACCCGCGCGGCCGCATTCTGGACCAGTTGGAGCCTCCGGGTACTCCTCAAGGGGAGCCCCATGTAGAGAGCTTTGCAGTAGTCCTGGCGCGAGGTGATGAGGGCGTGAGTGACTGTGCACAGGGAATCCCAATCAAGAAAGGGCCGCAACTGGCGAATCAGGCGAACCTGACAAAAGGTCCCCCTGGCTACAGCCGTCAGATGTTCCTCCAAGGACAGCTGCGTATCCAGGAGGACTCCCAGATTGCGTGCCCTTTCCACGGGGGCTAAAGACTCGCCCCCGATCGGAGGCGATAGTCAGTGATGGAGTCAACTGACTATATCGGGATGCCGGGAACCACAGCCATTCAGTCTTGGAAGGGTTGAGCCTGAGCCTGTTCCTCCCCATCCAGATCCGCACAGCCTCCAGGCACTGGGACATCACTTCAAGGGCATCGTTGGGGTGGCCTGGGGTGGAGATGTACAGCTGGGTGTCATCAGCGTACTGATGGTACTTCACCCCAAAGCCACGGATGATGTCACCCAGCAGCTTCACATAAATGTTAAAAGAAGGGGCGAGAGGACTGACCCCTGAGGCACTCCACATATAAGAGGCCTTGAGGTCGATCTCTGCCCCCCTGCCAACACAAACTGTGACCGGTCAGAGAGAAAGGAGGAGAACCACCGTAACACGATGCCCCCCATCCCCAACTCTTCCAACTGGTGCAGCACGATACCATGGTTGATGAGCCGCTGAGAGGTCTAACAGGGCTAGAACAGAGGAGCAACCCTTGTCCCGAGCCCTCCAGAGATCATCTACCAACGTGACCAATGCCGTTTCCGTACTGTGCCCAGGCCTGAAACCCGACTGTAACGGATCTAGATAAGACGTTTCCTCCAGGAATTGTGGAAACTTTCACGCGACCACACTCTCAACAACCTTTGCCATGAAGCGAAGGTTGGAGACAGGACGGTAGTTGGCCAATACTGCTGGGTCCAGGGAGGGCTTCTTGAGGAGAGGCCTCACCACCACCTCTTTCAAGGCTGTGGGGAAGTAACCCTCATTCAACAAAGCGTTAATAATTCCCTGGAGCCAGCCTCATGTAACCTCCCGGGAAGCCAGTACTAACCAGGAGGGACACGGATCCAGTAAACATGTGGCCGCACTAAGTCTCCCCAAAATCCTGTCCACGTCA